GTTTGTTGGTAAAGAAAGACCTTTCATGTAGTACTCCTAATCAATAAGTTCCGGCTCCTGCATTATCCAACAAGAAAAATCATTAATTGATATATTATGAATGCTGATTATAAAGATATTTCATATAATTGAGATGCCAACAGTAGAATTTCAAGTCTCTGGATTAGTTGACAACAGTAGAATAGCATAAACAAGCATAGAAGAGTCATGTAATTTTAAACCTAGAAAAATTCTCATTCCAATTGCATCTACATGTTGTACGGAAATTTAAATGCTTTTGACAATCAAATTCAAAGAAACTACGAGTTCCAAAATTACGATCAATTCAAATGAAAGTTCTCGATGTAAAACCATCATCAAGTACAGATCACAAGACATGATATCAGCATAAAACCTAATCTGAATGATATCAACCAAAATGTAGATCCGTATCGTTTAACATTTGACATCGATAGATTCAATTTAGATAACACACAAAAGAAAAATACCAAAGGAGAGATAAAAACTAAGGTTCAAAAGCATCAGGATTGATAGAGTTAACAGAAATTAACTCCCCTCGGATCAATATCCTTCAAGTAATTGGATGATAGAAAGAGAAAATAGAGCAAAAAGAAGAGAGAAGAATGTTACCTGGTAGGGATGAAGACGACCGAGGAGCTCCGATAGATCGATAATGACGTAAGTGATAGAGGGATGCGATCGGCGACAAATTTGATCTGATTTGGGGAAGAAGACTTTATTTTGGTCAAAATTTGCCCATTTGCAATCGGGACGTCAAAATTTCTATATTATATATAAAAATTTTGATGTTGTTTTAATGCATATGACGTGGTTGTATTAAACATTCCTCTATCATCTTAATATTGTTTTGAGAAAGAAAATAAAACATTAAAAATATATATTAAACATTTTTCATATATTGCAATTCGGTTTACATTGTTTTGGTTTTAAGAAATTTTCCTAGAAATTCACAAAAAGTTTTCACTAATTATGCATCTTCTCATTGTTTTATTCTCGTTAGCTTTTTCTTTTATCTATTAAACATTTTTTAGTGAAATGTAGTCGTTGGTATTCCTTCATAAATAGATTATATATATTTAATAAAAAGTGCAAAATATTTACCAGTAGTATAATAATTAAATAAAATGGCTCCTCATGAAGTGAATTGTCATAAAATATTAACTTCTTGCTAGCTTCGGCATTTTTATTTATAATATGTTCTTTTGTTTAAAAAATAGCTTTTGTGTGATGTTTTGCATAAATTACTGTACATTATGTTTTATTAATTATGTGTCGAATTGAGAAAAATGAAAAGAACGTGTCAGTTTGCAACATCTACTGAAACTTTTGGACCACAATAATAATAATAAAGGGATAATAAAGCAAAAGAAATCCAAACCCTTGTTTGTTATCCAGAATCCTTGTGAAGGCCACCTGCCTCTCTCGCACATATACACGCTTTTCTCCTTTCATACTATAAAATTAAACTAACAAAAAAAGTTGTACCTACTTTAAGATAATAACAAAATGTTATTTTATTTATCTAATTTTATATCCTTTCTTTCAACTAATTTTATATCCTTCTTCATAAACTTGAAGCCTGCTCAAGGAAAAAAAAAACCAAAAATAATATTTTATTTTTGTTGTTGAGTTTTCAAAGATTATTGTATATTTTTAATGTATTTTTTTCAATAATTTTATATATTTTGCTATGGAAACATATTTCGTAACTACTTGACTACGGAATTTTCCGTAGCCAAATACCTATGAATTTTGATTTCGTAGCTATTTTGCAAATTCACCTTTTTGTAACTAGTTCCATAATAGATTAGCTACAAAATTTTATTTTGTAGCAAATTTTCCTAGCAAAATAGCTCCGGATTTCAATTCTATAGCTAACTAACTACGTATTTTTATTTCATAGCCAATTATGTAGCCAATTAGCTACATACATGGATTTTGTAACAAGTTTCATAGAGAACTAGCTACAACCAAAAAATTTGTAGCATTATTTGTAGTAAACTAACTACGGATTTTAATTCCGTAGCAACTATTCAAGATTTAGATACGGAATGAAATTTTGTGGCCATTTCCGTAGCAAATTAGTTACAGCCAACTATTTTGTAACATATTCCGTAGTAAAATAACTATAAATTTAGATTCCGTAACAACTTTACGTAGCTATTTAAGATTTTACTACATAAAGCAATTCCGTAATCATTTATGTAGCAAAATAGCTACGACAAGTCGTTTCGTAGCATATTCCGTAGTAAAATAGCAACGGATTTTGATTCCATAGTAACTTTTCGTAGCTATTTATGATTTTTCTTGTAGTGAGACCAAATTCATTCCATCAAATAAAGTATTGTACATCAGAACATATAATAATACTAACTAGAAGGAATTCGGTTGCGCCTTTGGCGCTACTTTGAGTAATGTTTGGGAAAAAAAAAGCTGGAAATAATTATTTGAAAATGGCATTAAAGGTTAGTAGTATATAAATAGAATTTGTTTACATTGCAACTATCCATTACATTCCATGATAGAATGAAAAAGAAAAAGAAAAACATTTACTCAAGAAACAAAGAAAAATTAATAAAATACGAACAACGGAATGGTCCATTCCATCTGGCAACGGAATGAACAATTTCATTCCTTCCTTGATTCTATCATACCAAAAAAGATGATATACTGACTTATGCATGTATCATGGTCTCATATGCAAAATTTCAGTTTAAAGTAGCACAAAGGGATGTGAGAACCCTTCACGGAATCAATTACAATAGGCTGCCCACCAACAAATTTGAAGCCACCAACAGGGGAATTAACACCTCCTGGTAATTTAACCATTTAACATAAGTATCAATCCAATTCCTTCGATCGATTTCCAAACTAAAAACAAAATATCAATGGAATGGAATTAAATTCCATCCCATTTTTTGGCAAGGAAAATAAGGACATATTTACCTCTTTAGATTTACAATTTCATTTACTATTTAAAAAAAAAACAAAATAAATAAATAAATAAAACAGTGATTGAAAACCTAGTCACATAAAGAACCATATACAATTTTAAAATTGAATCCGAATTGGTCCAATACATTTATATGAAAGATTCATGACATAACAAATGAACATAAATCGCAATCTGGTCCGATTGATTGGTTGAGTTGGATCCAAAAAAAAAAAAAAAAAAAAAGTAAAAATTGAATGAATCAATGAAAGATTCATATTTATATTTGATTAAAAAGACGTATTCTGATTCATATTTCATAGGAAAATGCATTCACATAAAAGAACATGAAAAACCTAAAGAAGCCAACATAGTTAAATAGTTAAATGGTAGGTCGACCTTGGATACAACTAATTCTATGGATAGCTTCATATTCTCTTATTGCCAACCCCTATATGCTCAGTGAAGGAAGTGTGGAATTGTTTAGTTGTGTACACGATTCTGGATGTCTTCCAGAATAGAATGTTCTACATCTGTGGGTCTGAGAAAATAAGAAAAAATAAATATAACAAAATCAGAAATAATGACATATTGGTTCAGGAGTAGTGACCACTTACATCGGAATTAAAGCCGACTTGGTAACACAAAACACCAAAAAAATAAATTAAAAAAACCAATTAAAGAAATATTGAATCCCAAAGTTCAAGAAACACAAATTCATACGTGGGTCAACCAAAGCTCACACCACCTTAAACTCATAGTTCATCCAGAGGAAGTTCATGTAAAAGTTATTCTAAAGAGAAGTAAAATAATAAATATGAGCATTTCAAGATTTTGTAATATCAATAGTGTCACTAGTGCCAACACTAGGAATGCATATATTTGTCAACATATTCACTGTAAATGTAACCCAGGGTAACAACAAATTGTTACAATGAAATTATAAAAATGTCACTGAACGTTTAAAATTTAAAATAATCCTAAGAAATAACATCAACTAATTTTATGTAATTAAAAAGATATACATTAAACCAAATTCAAACAAAATTGATTTTCATGTGTCATGCATACCTGTTATGTATACCTACTGAGCTGTGTATATAAGATCATGATCATGTTTTTCAAGATAGACTGTTTCAACTCGTATGTGAATTAATATATATATATATATATATATATATATATATATATATATATATATATATATATATATATATATATATATATATATATATATATATATATATATAATGACCTTTCTACATGCGGAAAGCTTATGAATCCTGAATAATATATAGTTTAGGTGTTACAGATCATGTCCGAATTGGCATACGATCACTTAAACTGATGACCTACACCATTAAACAATGTCTTAATAATACATATAATTGAGGATTAATAATTAACCACAACACGTGTCTGCTAGCTGACTCATTGCCTTTTAAATATTCTAACATTCTACCACCCGAAATAGTAACCAGAAGCTTCGATCTTAGCTTATAAACTAATGTCATCAACAACAAAAAAGGCAAGTATAATATCCGTTGAACGATAGCGTGTATCAACATATGTTAACCAAGGATTGGACACAGGCCGTTTTCAAGGAGACACCAACAACCACTATGTTTATATTATATTAGGACAGTGCTTTCTTTTAGATTTTTTGTTATCATTGAATATATGACATAATCTTTACTTAGTAGTCATCATGTAAGGAATGTTTTCTTTGATGTTTAAGTAGTAAAGACACTTGCTTAATTCCTATTGGGTAGGAAACAGTTTTTCCCACACCTGGAGGGATACAATTTGATAGATATTTCTTACCTTACATATATAAACTATAAGATAATAAGATCCCATACTAGATTTGCAAATGAAAAGGTGAGTGTCATTCGGATTGTGATATCATTAAAGGAGCACTAAATTTGCTGCGGCTAGAGGATATTTAAAGGGGGGTGTTCCGAGTGAAAGAGCAATTTGTGTCGCAAGAGTTGAGACAAAAAAAAAAAAAAAAAAAAATTGGAAAAAAAAAAAAGAAATGGAAGGAATGATGGGGTGGAGAATGGCGGAGGAAGGGTGGAGGAAAGGACCTTGGACTCCGGCAGAAGATAAGTTGCTTATGGAGTATGTTGCATTGCACGGGGAGGGGAGATGGAGCTCCATAGCTGGTTACTCAGGTATGCTTCATGTCTTTATCATCTAAAAAAAGTTATGTGTATTCAATACCTTAAATAAAAGATCATGGGTATGCAATACACTCAAGAAAAAGATTATGAGTATGCAATAAAATCACGAAAAAGAACATGGGTATGAAATAAAATCAAGAAAAAAGATTATGGGTATGCACTACTTTCCTCGTTTGACTTCTTTTTGGTCGTTAATATTCTTAATTTTGTATTTGGCTTTTAGGATTGAAGAGGAATGGAAAGAGTTGTAGGTTACGTTGGGTGAATTACTTAAGACCCGGCCTTAAGAAAGGCCATTTATCGCCTCAAGAGGAAGGCATTATTATCGAGCTTCATGCCTTATGGGGAAACAAGTAATTTTCTCTCTCTTTCAGACACACACATAAATTAACATGTGTAACTCATTTTGCAATCTCTAAACCCTTTAATATATTTATATGTTTTGTTATGACTTATGCAGATGGTCCACAATAGCTAGGTATTTGCCAGGAAGAACAGATAATGAAATAAAGAACTATTGGAGAACTCATTTCAAGACGAAAGGAAAACCTTTGCAAAATGAGAAAAAGAGAAAGTATGAAGCTGAATTTAGCAATAGTACTCAAGAACAAGGAGTTATAGGAAGTATGCATAGTGAAACATTACATGATCAATCAGAAGATAACGATAGTGGGATGATCATTGAACCATCGCAAGCCACGCTGCAAGACACTAGAGCCATCTCATGTCCAGTGATGACTAGCGAGCAGCAGCAACAAAATCCGTGTGTCTTGGCTCAAGATGTTGCACGATGGTGGGACACAGTATCGGATGATGGCTTATGGAGTACTGGATTTTTGTGGGATCATGATCATCCAAGCGAAGCTGTGATAGAGCAATCATTTAGTTCATGTTTTTGACTCGTAAAAAAAGTTCAGATCGATCTTAGATTCTCTAAGCATGATTCATACGATAGAAATCATTTTTTTTTGCTTCTACTGTCGTAAGAAATGCATAATTTATAAGTACAATGGAATGTTTGTTATCACTGTACCTTGTTGGCATTTTTTCTTTTTCAAAAAGGTTCCGTACAATTATCATTGAAAGTGAACATGATTTATGAACTCCGTGGTTGGACTTGCTTCTTTTTCCTAACTTACTGCAATTAATCCAATGTAGGGGGGGGGGGGGGGGGACACGGCCATAAAAGGTAGGGAGGCCAAAGTCAAAAACTTCAAAACAAAAATATATAGACAAGTTTAATTTCAGTTTGAACCTATGACATCAAATATGTTGATGCTAAGGTATGTGATTTCTAGGGAGTTTCTTGAGGGTTCTTAGGTGCTAAATTTGATTATACCTTTTGGTATAATAATTAGTTATTGCATATTGATCACATAGCTTATAGATCGGTCTTGTGTGCATGAACTTGATAGAGTGGAACAAGTTAGCCCGAGTTTTTCGTGGAACTCAAACGACAATAGTCAGACTACATCTTAATGTAAGTTAATTCCTCAACCCTCCTTTTGCGATCTATTTATGATTTTATTGTACATTCGCTTATTCAATATACATAATGATTTCAATTTTATTTATTTTCCAAATGTTTATATATTTATTCTATTGAATGAACTGAAACCCAATATCTTCTAAGACCTTTAAAAACTAATCATCCAGTGCTTCTCGTTCTTCCAACACCAATTTCCTTCATTTCACTAAACTAAAAAAAATGTCACTACCATTATGTTTTTTTACTATCTTTCTTGCAAAACCAGTCTTACAAAATTCTCCTAGTATCAATCATCTTGATAATACACATCTCTTAATCTTTTTTTCTCCATGACTTGATGATGAGATACCTCCATACTACCACTGCTCCCTCAATCCTTCATCATTGTAAAACTTATATGACCGGGAAGAATATCATTATTCTCCGAAATAATTTCATAACCTTGTATGACATCCATGAAAAATTACAACATCCTCCATTCACTATTTTGATCAATTTTCTTCAACCAAATCCCTTAAATTATGCATTGATTTCCACTCTCACTTTCATATACTATGAATTGCCATGTTCGTTATAGTGCACATGATATTTTAGTGTTCCCACTTCCTTAATCATTAGAAACCTAAGTGAGATAAGCATCTAAATCTCTCCCACCATCATTATGGAGGCACTTCATCTTTTATTTCTTAATTCATATGGACTTCTTTCTACCATGCACATATTCAAAGTTGTTGTGCGCACTTTTAGTCATGCTCATCCAACAAATAAGGAAGAAAGGAAAAAAGAACAAGTGGTCCACGAAAAAGATGAGATTACTGAGATCTCGGAGTTACTTGATTTGGATCATCCCTAAATGGTTGATTAAAAAAGGTGGAAGTTTTGGCCAGATTAAATAATTTGAGCTTATATACTTGTTTTGTTTATGTGTAGGTGCAACATTGACCCATTAATGTTGGGTGATTTTAAGCCAAAGATAACAAAAATCCCGACCAATATTCCCCTAAGCTACCCACACAAAGTCGAAACATACAACATCCAAAAAAAATATTCCATTTACCCAACTAAAACTAATGCCAACCCCATCTATCTCGTAGACAAATATTTCTAACACAACTTAGAAAACTATCCATATTTCGAGCCAAAATGTTGATACTCAAACTAAAAATAACACAATTGTACCCCATACTAAATCACCACATTATAAGTAATTAAGTATCTCACATTTTCTCCATCTTTAAGCATGTTCTCTTTATTTGAAATCATATATAATCAAGCTTCAATCTTGTTTTTAGCATTATCAGGATGTTAAGCCATAATCTACACCAATTAAGGTTAATATTGCATCAAATCCAACATTTCATATATGCATTAAAACAATTAATAAGGCTTTAACACTAAGAGTATTTCAGCTCCTATGTATGGGTGGTAATTGTTTTATGTTTCGATCGATAGGTTGTAGGTTTGCAGGATAAAAAGCTCAACATGAAAAAAAATCATATAAATATTTGTGTCATCTTTCTCAATCCAAACCTAGATAATAAAAAACAAAACATAACTCGCATAAAGGTGGAAGTTTTGGCTAGATTAAAGAATTTAAGCTTTATATACTTGTTTTGTTTGTGTGTAGGTGCAACATTGACCCATTGATTTTAAGCCCATGATAACCAAAATCCCGACCAAGATTCCCCTAAGCTACCCACACAAAGTCGAAACATACCACCTCCTAAACAAATATTCTATTTACCCAACTCAAACTGATGCCAACGCTATCCAATCTGGTAGACAGATGTTTCTAAGAGAACTTGAAAAACCACATCTATTTGATACTCAAACTAAGAATAACACAACTCTAGCCGAAACTAAATCACTACATTATAGGTAATTAAGAATCCCACATTTTCTCCGTCTTTAAGCATGTTCTCTTTATTTGAAATCATATAGGATCAAGCTTCAATATTGTTTTTGGCGTTAGAACATAAAATACTTATAGTATAAGATAATATTTGTTTTGGAACAATGTATATATTAATTTCGTTTGTCTAAGTATATATGTCTCATTTAATTTATTAACTAATTGATTATTTATTTAATAGTTTTTAAAAACTATCACCTTCATATTCAACAATGATTAAAAATTATGTTTTAGAGAACTAGATTCTTAATATAATTATACATTAAATATCTATGTTTTCTAAATAAACAAGTTTTATATACAAACAACTTTTGACTTAAACTTGGTTTAATCAAACATACTTAAGACATTATTATCTTTATTATATAAACAAAATCCATCTATTCTAATGTCATGAAATGGATTTTTGAAGGAAGTTAATATCGTTTATTTAACATATATGAATCTTATTTACGGATCTATATATTGTGATGTATGACTTCCTTGCTAATGAATGTCTAAGATTTAGCACAAACACACTTTTAGTTAAATGAGAAGGAAACGTGCTTCATATAATTCGTTTTTCGATTTCAACCCTTAATTCCTCATAACTTTACAATAATTATTGCATTCTATTAATTACTGGTTTTAAACAATGGGAGTTAACTCTTTTAGTCTATCTCTGTTAAATTTGAGAATTTAATGATACAAAATCCTTTAGGTGACTTAACACTTTGGACAAACACACTTTTTTTACTTGGTTTGGATCATCCTTAAATGGTTTACTCATAGAGGTGGAAGTTTTGGCTAGATTAAAGAATTTGAGCTTTAGATACTTGTTTTGTTTGCATGTAGGTGCAACATTGACCCATTAACATTGGTTGATTTTAAGCCCAAGATAGCCAAAATCCCGACCAAGCTTCCCCTAAGCTTCTCGCAAAAAGTCGAAACATACCACCTCTAAAACCAATATTCCATTTACCCAACTAAAAATGATGCCAACTCCATCCAATCTCCTAGACAAATATTTCTAACACAACTTGAAAACCCACCCTATTTCGAGCCAAAATGTTGACTCAAACTAAAATTAACACAATTGTGGCCCAGACTAAATCACCACATTATAAGTAATTAAGCATCCCACATTTTTTCCATCTTTAAGCATTTTCTCTTTATTTGAAATCATATAGGATCAAGCTTCAATCTTGTTTTTGGCATTCGAACATAAAATACTTATAGTGTAGAATAATATTTGTTTTGGAACAATGTATATTTTAATTTAGCTTGTCTAAATATATATGTGTCATTTAATTTATTAACTGATTATAGCCATTATAATTATATTTTATATGTTAAATCATAATTATGAAACATTTATTGAAGTTTTCAAACTTAAAGTTGAGATACAAACTAGGGGTGAGCATTTGGATCGGCCCGGACCGGATCGAACCGGACCGACTCTTGGACTAGACCGGTTATGGAGAATTCTGTGGACCATGGACCGGACCGGATGAGTCGTGTCCGTGTCCGGGTCCAGGTCCGGGTTTTCCGGTTTTTGGACCCGTTTGGACCGGTACAACTTTAATTGCATAGAGTATATGTAATCTAAATTGATGTATAATATTATAACTTGCAAAATTAATATGTTTCCGTTTCATGCCTAACTAATATACATTGATGTATAATATTATAACTTGCAATTTGCAAAAAATAAATTTCCAAATAAAAAAAACTAACATATAAATCAAGTTCACCAACAAAAGTTAAACAATTTTAAGACAAACATATAAAAGTATTACCGTAACAACAAAAATCATAATTTAAACTTTAAAATCAATCAAACTAACAAACTTCATAAACTAATAATCTAATCTTCCACTAGCCTCTTCCCCATATCATTATCATCCATATTTTTTTCTCTATATAAACACAAATGAAAATGTTGTTAGTATTTAATAAAAAGTAATACTTGTATAAAAAAAGAATAAAAATTGTAATTTTTTTACCCAAAGCTATATCATCATCGTTCAAGATGTCATCAACGTTGTCAACTATCGGATTTGTAGACTTTATCACCCAATCTTGGGTGCATAACAAAGCTTCAACTACCAATGTCGATATACTAGTCTGATACTTACTTACAACTCTACCACATGTGCTAAACGCGGACTCGGAATTATAGTATAAAATAATACTAAAAAGCTGAAATATTTCAGCTTTGATAGCTCTACTTTGAAGGATTGTAACTCAGTGAATAAAAGACCAAAATAAACAAAATTATAGTCTAAATTCATCTACAAACTGTAAACTAAGTGTTGGAAAAAACCGGAGGTCAATCCGATTTAAAACGAATGAGTTATTGGTGTTTAAAAAACATCACAGATTACAAAATCTTGCTGAAAAGCTGAATTTTTTCAGCTTTGATAGCTCTACTTTGAAGGATTGTAACTCAGTGAATATGATACAAAAATAAACAAAATTATAGTCTAAACTCATCTACAAACTGTAAACTAAATGTT